CATGCCGGAATGTCATAGACCGGGTAGCTTAAACAGCAGACATTTATTTCTCACGGTTCTAGAGGCCGGTAAGTTCAAAATCAAGGCACTGGCAGATTCGGTGTCTGGGAAGAGCCTGCTTCCTAGTTCATAGATGACACCTTCTCACTGTGTCCTCACGTGGTGGAAGGACTCAGCGAGGTCTTTGGGGTCTTTTTTTATAAGGGTACTAATCTCATTCATGACAGCTAATCACATCCTAAAGGCCCCACTTCCTAATGCCATCGCCTTAGTGGGGGGTGAGTGTTTCAACATATAGATTTCGAGGAGACACAAACATTCAGATCATGGCATAAGCAATAAATATTTATTGAATGATTAATGAATTTGTTTTAGGCTATTTCAATATTTTTTTTTGATTCTACAAGAAAGGTAAGTTATAGATACTCAAATCAGTACAAATATCAAACATCATTGTAAACTAGTGAGCATTTTCCTCCTATTCACCTATAAAGAACGCACTCAAGAATTTAGCTTCTTAGCCGGGCGCGGTGGCTCACGCCTGTAATCCTAGCACTCTGGGAGGCTGAGGCGGGCGGATTGCTCGAGGTCAGGAGTTCGAAACCAGCCTGAGCAAGAGCGAGACCCCGTCTCTACTATAAATAGAAAGAAATTAATTGGTCAACTAATATATATATAAAATTAGCCGGGCATGGTGGCGCATGCCTGTAGTCCCAGCTACTCGGGAGGCTGAGGCAGCAGGATTGCTTGAGCCCAGGAGTTTGAGGTTGCTGTGAGCTAGGCTGACGCCATGGCACTCACTCTAGCCTGGGCAACAAGCGAGACTCTGTCTCAAAAAAAAAAAAATTAAAAAAAAAAAAAAATTTAGCTTCTTGCAACTAAGAACTGCAATTAATAGGTCTCTGCCAGTGTAGAAACCACTTTATATAATGCTTACACGCTGACCACCAGATTTTATTTCTTTGTGCTCCTTTCACTGGATCCATAGAATATGTTCACTGAACACGCCTTCAATGCCCCTGCTAGCCCTCGGCCTGCACCAGTCTCTGCTTTCTCTGGAACGTGAGCATCGCACACCTGGCTCGCCTCCAAGTGCGTTCTCCTCTGCCGGCTGCTCCTGCGCGCGTTGGTCTCGTCTCGGCGAGACGGCCGATTCGGGGAGAGCTCATGTCTTCATTATGTGACTCTGCGACTCTTCTCTCACTGTTTGGGGCCCAGCACAGCAAAAATGCTAAATGAGCGCCGATTGATTGATCGACAACATGCCATTTACCAGTCAGTTACATCATCACTAGGAAAGCATGTTTATTTAATGTTTCATTAAAGCTGTGCCCGATAATGTTATTTAGTAACGTACCAGATGAAGCCACGGAGCACGTCCGTCAGGGATAGAGCCGTCCTAGGTGTTTGGAGGAGGCTGGATGAGTAAGACAGTTCCTGCGTATAAGGAGCTTGCGATCTCACTTAGGGAATACCACATATAAAAAGTTAATTAACAGTGCACTGTATAAAAAGACGGGGATTTTAGTGCTAGAAAGTATAGTGAGGCTCTCGCTGAGATACTGGCAAGCTTCTGTAAAGGACCAGGTAGTAAGTGCACTAGGCTTTGCAGCATGTGGTCTTTGTTGTGACTACTCCACTCTGTTGGTCACCGGAAGACAGCAAGCAGCACTCGGCCCCAGGCTGTAGTTTGCCAACCTCTGTCCATGGTATTTCAGTGTCTTTGGATCAGAAGGAAGCTGGGCTCCTGTGGTGAGGCAGGCAGCGCTGCAGTAGGAGGTGGGAGTTGCCCTGGTCTGGAAGGCGCGATCAGGTTTGGAAAGCAGAAGGAGGAAGAGCAGATGCTGAAGTCAGATGACAGTCCCAAGCAGCAACACAAAGCTGGGTAAAGGGAGAAATGGTGAGAAGATATCTTGGCAGGAAAAGAATTTGTATTGAGCAATAGATGGAGAGAGAGAAGAGTGAAAAGCTGGTGGGATCATGGGGCTATCAGGCTAATCCAGTGGGCCAGAGCGTTGGAACTGCTCTACTTAAACAACAGAGGTGAATGATACCCCAAAACGATGCTATTTCTATAAGCTGTTTTGTCATAGAAACTAATTAATCATCCTATTCCATAATGTTTTAGCAACAACAATAAACATCATAAATTGCTTACCATTGCACAACATGAATGCTTTAGGAAAAGGTGCTATAATATTCATCAGTAGTTCTGAGGACCTCACCACAGAACAGACTCCTGGAGTTGTTCTTACCCTGGTTTGGGAAGGATGGTTGTGGCTAAGGAGAAGAATCCTAAGAAGGGCTGGGCTAAGCACAGAGCCCTTTATGAAGGTCAATATAATGCACTCAGATGGCTGCGTTGTGTGCACAGGGACTGAAATTGAGGGGCCTGGAGACAATTAGAGAGCTGTTTTCATAGACAGCTGGGAAGTCCTGAGGGTCTGTGGTGGAGGGGCTGAAAAGGCAGAAGACAAACATAGGAGGCAAGGATGCCCGGGTTTGACACAAAACAGTTGGGCAAGTAAAATAGACACACAAAATAATGTCAAACTTTAAGACAGAAGACTAATTATTTTTTGTGCTTAAGTTTAGAGATACCATGTTTTGCTGGTTCTCAGATGCATGTGTCGTAACATTTTCACATATCTGGAGTCAGAATGCATCAAACAATTGCTGTACCACTCAGTTTAATTGCAGGTTTTGTTCCTCCTTAGTGGATCACGAAATTATGAGGTGTCTTACCATGGCATCTTAGATTTGTTGAAATACGGTATTGGTAAGGTTTTAATTACAAGTTACTTGCTGCTAATCTCTCTCTTCAGGCCCATCTATCTGATGCTAAAAGCTACCCCAACTTGCAAGATGGCTTTTTGAGCCCATCACGGGGGATTTTTGATCCTATGCCTACAAAAAGGTGGTTCTCATTGTCCCATCAATGTGTCAAGTCAGCACAGGCTATGATTTTTTCCAGAATTTTCCTTTTGCTCCCATAACTGCTCAAAACGATTCAGATGCAGGTTTGTGAGATCACTTGATTCTCCACCTACTACCCAGCAGAGGCAATGTTGTATCCCAAATGTAAATAAATCAAGTAACACTCTTCTATCACCTTTTAAAAGATGAAGATTTTATTAAAATATGTAAAGATTTTTCTTTAGACAATGTTCCCACTTATTTATGGTAATTATTTTCTGGTCCATGTTAGCTCCAAGTTTTCTGAAAAATTTTCTAAAATATTAAATGGCTTGCAATATTCTAAACCTTTGGAAAGTGTCCTTGCATGGGGGGCGGGGGTGATTCCATGAAGCATGAGCTGCCCCGCCATTCTTGCCTCAGTCTGAGAGTGTGGATGGAAGCTCTGGGCTGGTGGGAGCTGAAGGATGAAATGCACGGAGCTTCCCCTCCCTTCACTGTTCCCCAGCTGTCTCCATTTCTGGACCCCTACTTGTCTCTTGTTTTTTCTAGAGTAAACCCTGCCTCCCTTTTCTATTTCCCTATAGGGAAAGAATTTGATTAACTCACATATAAAGTCAGATAAAATACCTCATGGCCTCACTCCCTAGTGGCTTTTACATTTATGATTGTTAGCTCAAGATGTTAAATCATGAAATTTCATGATCCCGAACTGACATTTAAAAATAAACACTATAGGCCAGGCACGGTGGCTCACGCCTGTAATCCTAGTACTCTGGGAGGCCAAGGCAGGTGGATCACTCAAGGTCAGGAGTTTGAAACCAGCCTGAGCAAGAGCGAGACTCCGTCTCTACTATATATAGAAAGAAATTAGTTGGCCAACGAAAAAAAATATATATATATATATAGAAAAAATTAGCCAGGCATGGTGGCGCATGCCTGTAGTCTCAGCTACTTGGGAGGCTGAGGCAAAAGGATTGCTTGAACCCGGGAGTCTGAGGTTGCTGTGAGCTAGGCTGATGCCACAGCACTCTAGCCCAGGCAACAGAGCGAGACTCTGTCTCAATAAATAAATAAATGAAAATACACACTACAGAATGTCGCCCATACAGAGAAACAATAATAGTAATAATAATACTTCATGGGGTGATTGTATGGGCCAAATGAGCTGATTTTTTAAAAAGTGTCTGGCACTCAGAACACAATAAATGGTAACTGGTATCACTCTTGCCGCTGGGTGAGTGCTTAGCAAATCTCTGGGTACCATCAGAAGTGACTGTCTGCAACAGTGGTGGAGACAGCATCTTGCTCTCCTGTTACATAAATGTGGTCTGATGTTGTAGGCAGTAAGCTTCAATAACTACAGATTTTATATGTTTCTGGTGGGTAATTTTTTTCTTAAATTTCAAAAAGTTACGCTTTTCTCCATTGTGGTCAAGTTCAGCTAACCTAAAGTAAGGAGCACGTGGTAGGTCTCACCGAGCAACAGAAAGCTTCCAGGGCAAAGACCTCATTCCGATGCCTCGTAAAGCAGGAGAGAACTTACGTGTCATGAGAATTTAGGGAAGGTCTGCTTACATCGTATTCTTCTTTCCTTAAATTTTCCCACCCACAATTTAAATATTTTTAATAAAGCGAACTCTGCAAGGCACCTATGAGTTGTCCTTCTCGGGACGTGATTTCAAGGAGATTCCAGGCTGACAGTCAGGTTCTGAGAAGGGGGGAGTGAGGTTGGTTGGCCCCTCGGAGATTGGGATTGATTAATGGTGTTGTGATAAGCAGGGAAACAGATCAGTGGCAGCTCCTGCTCCCAGCTGTCACAGCTGTGCCTCTTCTCCCTTGCAGCCTTTTAAAGCAACTCCCTTCCTGTGGAATTTCTGTAAATTATTTGCTCAGACGCCAAGATGCCCTGGAAGCAGCTGGCTCTGGGGATCCGGTCAGATGCACGTATTTGCTGTGGTTTAGAACACTACCTTAGCAATCCCCCCGCCCTGCCTTCCCCAGGGGTGAAGGGGAACACACGGAGTCTAACTTTGGAAAGAGAGAGCAAGCTAGCCAAGTTGCAAAGCCAAGTGCACCGTTAATAGGGGAAGGTAGGGCATTGTTTAATTTTCTAAAATGTTTTATAAAGGGGACTGACAGGTTAGCCCTCATGTGGTTGTGTAGACTTCCACATATAGAGTAGATTGCCAAGTGTGACCTGGTGTCTCAACTTGCCCATTACAGCAAAGCATCATTTCCACACCTAAGGTGATCTGTTACATGGTAACAGGCATTCAGATCACCTTCAACACAGATTCCGTGGCTACTTTCTTTTCCAACATTCTCAGAAGGGTCACTCATTCCCTCCTGAATGATGATTTAGGCTGGTTGAAGTAGAAGCCAAAGGCAAGCCACGTGAACATAGCTCCAAATTCACCCCACTGTGCAATGTGTGGCTGGGGTTTCCAGGTCACTAAAGACATTAGCAGGTTGGGAGACACCAGTGCTGGTCCATAGTCCCAGCTACCTGGGGGGCTGAGGCGGGAGGATCACTGGAGGCCGGGAGTTTGAGACCAGCCTGGGCAACACGGCAAGACCCTGTTGGGGAAAAAAAAAAAAGATATCGACATCAGCAACACATGAGGTGTTTATTCCATTGGCCAAACACGTATCGCTATTCCCATTTTATATGTGAAGAAACTGAGGCTCAGAGAGGTTGATAGAGGATGGAACTAGAAATAAAACCCAGACGCAGATCGTTTGAGTCCTCATGCTGTTTTCTTTCTACTACATCTTGTGCCCTTGTCAGTCTGTGATTCTGAAATACAAAAACTGGATTTTCAGACCCGGGTGATGGTGTCAGTCAGCGTTGTTTCAAAGGCCGTATCCTGAAATGCAGACTTTATTTTCCGAAAAGGTGAGTTGTGCCTTTGAAGTCTGAAGCAGAATGAGATTATTTAGCATTATTTGTCTTTATTGTATCCAATTATGCCTTAATAAGTAATCTCCAAGTAAATAATAGGCATAATGAAATGAGTATTTAAAGAAGTTTAGGTTTATGACCCTTTTTACAGCTGTGCCAGAGATATGAGCAAGACTAAGAAATCAAAACATTTTTTTTATTATTTCTATAAGTTTTTTTCTTTTTTTCCTTTTTAAATGAATATGAAATTCCAGAAATCAAAATATTTTTGAAGAAACTCTTGTCAGTTCAGTTTCTTGCTTTTAAAATGGGACAATAGTGAAGGTCCCTCAATCCTCCACACCTCTCCTGAGGGCCTTCCACACAAAACTAGCAAGTAATCTTTCTGAGTGGTGTTGGTAGACCTATAAACCTACTCCCTTAAGAAAATAAGGTTACAGGCCAGGCGCGGTGGCTCACGCCTATAATCCTAGCACTCTGGGAGGCCAAGGCGGGCGGATTGCTCGAGGTCAAGAGTTCGAAACCAGCCTGAGCAAGAGCAAGACCCCGTCTCTATTATAAATAGAAAGAAATTAATTGGCCAACTAGAAAAAATTAGCCGGGCATGGTAGTGCATGCCTGTAGTCCCAGCTACTCGGGAGGCTGAGGCAGGAGGATCACTTGAGCCCAGGAGTTTGAGATTGCTGTGAGCTAGGCTGATGCCATTGCACTCACTCTAGCCTGGGCAACAAAGGGAGACTCTGTCTCAAAACAAAACAAAAAAATGTTACAGAAATGTATTTTTATGGGAGAAAGCTAATGTTTAAATATACATTTTTTTCTACTTCTAAACATGGAAAAAAATTACCCTTTATCTTTAAATGGAAAATGCATATTTCTGAAAGCGGCCTGCCTGAACAGCTTTCGTCTTAAACTTCTATTTATTTACTTTGCCATTATCTGATATGTCAACAGTGTCTCGTAATGCCTTGTGTCACACAAAAGCAAACACAGTCACGTTACATTAATGACTAGGCTGGGATCATATGACTGACTGGCTATAATTCTATGCCCCCTTGCTATAAAAAACATGACCTTAAATCCTAACCAGCTTTTGAATAAAAGGCCCCACAATTATGATATAGTAACAAAGTTCATGTTATATACAATTTGATTGTTTCAATGCTCTTTGCCCATCCATTTTCATTTTGCCTGCTATTTATGTGTGTTAGTAAAAAGTCAAGTGGAAAATCCACTCTTTGGTATTTTAGGCACAACGTTCATTTACCCAACATGTTCGGCAGGATAAAACTAAACATAGTGGAAACCTCTTTTATAATCCTGGTGTTTGAAGTCAGGACTAAACTCACCTTGCAATGTAATTGTAATCACAGACCTTTTCCATATGTATCCAGGTTTCCCAAATGAGGCCCAGGTAATAATCTACATCTAAATCAATCACCCCAGTACCACCTGATTTTCTAACTAGACTAGTCTGTACCAGATAGTAGTTGCTCAACAAGTGCTAAGTATCTGGAGGAGAAACTAACCTCTGTGGTCTGTTACCCAAAGGCTTCAGTACAGACTGTTAGCAAAAGCAGCTGCACACGTCTAGTGTGTTGGGCAAAACAACACTAGCGAAGGCAGCTCTGCGTGACTTTTGTCTTCCTCGCAGAGGAGCCCTCTCCAGAGCGCCAGCATGCACTTTTGTCCTGCCTGCGAGTCTTGCAGGCTTATTTTTTGGAAGCTAGATAGAGAAATCTTCCACTTTTGTATCATTTCCTTCCGTGCCTGCAGCTTTTATTCTTTTCAACAAGTGTTTAGAAGAAAGTGTTGATGCTTATTAATCTGTTTCTTGTCTTACAAATGTGCTTACGCATGATTGGTGGCAAAACCGCCTCTCTGACAGCTCTCGATGTAATGGACGTGGCAGGACAAGATTGTTACACTGAACAGATCTGTTTGGAATTGTTATTCTTTGTAATTACCTTCATTAAGTGAAAGCATGTGTCAATCAACTTTGAACTTTAAACATACCTGTAATTTGCAAGAAAAATGCATTCTGATTTCCTATGGGCACATGTGTGCTTGAAGATGAGTATATATGTAGGTAGGTACATATGCTGTAGTAGAAACATGATTCTGTGATTTTCTGAGCATGTCATTTCCCCTTGGTTTCCATGTGGTGACTTTAAATATAAAGTGCACAACTCTAGAAAATGATATAAACAGAGTTCAGTTTAATAAATGATTAACTTATGTACTAGTGTGAACAGATGCCTTTTTTTGACACAGGTCTCGCTCTGTCACCCAGGCTGGAGTGCAGTGGCATTATCATAGCTCACTGCAACCTCCAGCACCTAGGCTCAAGCTATCCTCCTGCCTCAGCCTCCCGAGTAGCTGGGAACCCAGGCCTGCACCACTACACCCGGCTAATTTTAAAATTTCCTTGTAGAGATGGGGTCTCGCCATATTGCCCAGGCTGATTTTAAACTCCTGGCCTTAAGCGATCCTCCCACCTCAGCCTCCCAAAGTGCTGGGATTACAGGTGTGAGCCACTGCGCCGGGCCTGAACAGATACTTTTTAAGTAAAGAACACACCGCTCCTTCCTAAATTTCTGTAATAAAAGTATATATTCACATGAATTTTAACTGCCACGCCTTACTAAGAATATAAATTTGAAAACAGATTTATTCTTCTACTTGACTACATATCGTACATCAACCATGGGGTTATAACTTTCTTGATTGGATCAGACCTCACCTGGGGTCAAAAGTGAACATTTCAGGAAAGCATCCTGAACTTTAACAGGCCGGTTAAACAGGCTGCTCCCTCTACCTTTCACTGAATTATAAACCAACGCCCTTCCCTCCCTTAGCGTACCAGATGCCTCGTGCATTCGTTTATTCATTCAACATTTCATTCTTTCGCTCACTCGTCCACATTTATGGAATAACTGCGGTGTGCACAGCACCATGGGAGATTTAAAAAATGAATAGGATGCTCAAAAGAGAATCTAGAAAAGGAAACAGGAGAAAAGCTCAGGAATTAGTCTCATTTTTAGTGTCCTAGCGTGGCTTTCCCAGTCTGGGCATCGTGCAAATTCCTTTTCTGCTTCCTTCGCGCGGCCGCGAACCTCCGCCAGGGGGCGGTCGGGGACAGGAGGAGGAGATGGAGGCGCCGGAGGCGGCTGCGCGACTCCCCGCTCCCCGGGGCTGGAACTGCAGTTAAAATGAGGTTCTCAGGTGATCGGTTGATGCTCAGTATGCGAGCCAGGGGGATGGTTGTGGGCTGGCTGGCTTCAGCCGCAAACCCTCCCGGCCTCCTGGCTCCCAAACTGAAAGTGGAGACCCTCTCCTGCTGCCTCCTCCCGCCTCACCTTGTCTCCTGCTCCTTCCTCCCCACCCCCTCTCAGGCACTCCCCCAGTCCTCCCCAGGTACCCCCGTCCACCCCAGGTACCCCCTCTCCACATCAGGTACCCCCCCGTCCACCCCAACGTACCGCCTCATCCACATCAGGTCCCACCCGTCACCCCCAGGTACCCACTCTCACCCCAGTACCCCCTTCCACCCCAGGTACCCCCTTCCACCCCAGGTACCCTCTTCCACCCAGGTACCCCTCTCCCACCCCAGGGTACCCCCGTCCACCCCAGGTACCCCCTCTCCACACTATGGTACCCTGTCACCCAGGGTACCCCCATCCCCACTGCAGGTACCCCTCCTGTCCACCCCCGTACCTCCTCCACCCCAGATACCCCCCCTTCACTCCAGGTACCCCCCCATCCACCCCAGGTACCTCCGTCCACTCCAGGTACCCCCTCTCCACACTAGGTACCCTGTCCACACCAGGTACCCCCATCCACCCCAGGTACCCCCTCCGTCCACCCCCCCGTACCTCCATCCACCCCAGATACCCCCCCTTCACCCCAGGTACCCCCCCATCCACCCCAGGTACCTCCGTCCACTCCAAGTACCCCCACCGCAGGCCTTCGCACTGGCTGTTCCCTCTACCTGGTGTCTCTTCCCCACACCTCTCCCAGGTCTCCTCCTTCCAGCCTTTGCCAAACACCCCCTTCTCCGTGAGACCCCCGGCCTCCCCCCCATTGCTCCCCCTCCCCCCATGCCCTGGCGGGGCCGCCCGCGTCCCCCCAAACGGCACCTGAGACTCTCAGTCCATGCGACGCTCCGTTCACACGTCACTCACCTGCCGCGTCGCCGTCGGGCCAGGGCAAGAGCGCCTCTTGGTGTTGCTGACCGAAGCATCCCCAGTTCTCAGAGGGATGCAGGGAACAGAGTGTCCATTACATGTTTTTTTGAAGAAATACGCATTTCCAGGTCGGCCTGAGCGAGCGCAACAAGCCTGCGTGGCGAGCGCGTGCGGCATCCAAATCTCGCGGTATCCGGCGGGCGCGTCGCGAGGACTCGCGTCCCCGAGACTCCCGCGCGCGGTCGAGGCGCGTGCCGGGCGGCGACTCGGGGCCGCTTCCTCGCGCCGCTGCTCCCAGAGCCGTGACTGGGGACGCCGCTTCCTCTCCGGGTGCCGTGGCTTTCACCTCACAGCGTGGCTGGCGTGGCTTTCACCTCACAGCGTGGCTGGCGAGGACGAGGGTAGGAAGCGCCGCGGGGGCCGCGGGGCGCTGCGGAGGGTCTACCCGGAGACACGCCCGCGAAGGAACCGAGGCTGCTTTCCAGGAACTCGCGGTTCCGGGACTCGTCTGAGGAGGGGAGGCAGGTGCAGGTCGGGGAACCGCTGGAGCAACGTGAGAACACCGACCTGGAAGAGAGGCCGGGACGCGCTGAGGGTGGGGACGTTTCCGGGACGGATCCCGCGAAGCCGCGAAGCCTGGCTTAGAACCCAGGGGAAACCCGCGCGGTCCCTCGTGGCCCTGGTGAACGCGCCGACATCGCGTGGGGTGTCACTCGCGACTGGAGCCGACCTGGTACCTGGAAGCTGGGGCTTTAACACAGAAGACAGGCCGGGCGCGGTGACTCACACCTGTCGTCCGGGCACTCTGGGAGGCCCAGGCGGGAGGACCGCTTAAGCTCAGGAGTTTGAGACCAGCCTGAGCAAGAGCCAGACCTCCATCTCTACTAAAAATAGAAAGAAATTAATTGATCAACTAAAAATATATAGAAAAAATGAGTCGGGCATGGTGGTGCATGCCTGTAGTCCCAGCTACTCGGGAGGCTGAGGCAGGAGGATCGCTTGAGCCCAGGAGTTTGAGGTTGCTGTGAGCTAGGCTGACGCCACGGCACTCACTCTAGCCCGGGAAACAGAGTGAGACTCTGTCTCAAAAATTAAAAATGAAAAAAAAACCAAGTGGGGTTTTTTTTTAACCAAAAATTAAAAATGAAAAAAAAACCACAAAGCACTAATCTCCTCCCTAAGAAGGGCTAGAAGTTCCATGGAGTGCCTGGAAGTCAGTCGAGGCTGTGAAAATCAGTGAGACAAGTACAGAACACTATTCATCATTGAGGAGGAAGAGTTGTTATTAAGTTAAAAGGGAAGGATGTTCCCATCTTACAAAATACTAAAAGGATGCATGCAAACGTGATTGTCCTTTCCATAATTAAGAAAAATATTTTCATAGGTGATTGGTTATACCTCTTATGCTGACTGCTATGATTATAATATTCATATTCTCTTAGCCCCTACATGGTTTCTTAAAAATATGGTCATTTCAGCATTTACAGTTTGCTGCTGTCAAAGCATACATTTTAACAGCTTTATTGAGATATGATGCACCCGCCTACCATATAATTTGCCCGTTTGAATTGCACCAGTCAATGGTATTTGGTGTATTTTAGTTGTGCAAGAGTCACCACCATCAATTCGAGAACATTTTTATCCCCTCAAATGAACTGTAGCAGTAGCAGTCCCTCTCCCTTCCTCCCTCTCCCCAGCCCCTTGGGCATCTCTAACCTCCTTTCTGCTCTGTAGGTTTGCCTAGCCTGGACATTTCGTATAAATTGAATTATGCAACATGTCAAGTTTTATGACTGACTCCTTTCACAAGGCATGATGTTTATAAGGCTCATCCAAGTTGTAGCATGCATTAGGACTTCATTCCTGTTTGTGGATGAATAATATTCCATTATGTGGATATACCACATTTTGTTCATTCAACAGTTGGTGGACATTTGGGTTCTTTCCACTTTTTGGCTTTTGTGAATAATGCTGCTCTGCACATTAGTGCGTACACTTTTTTGTGTGGATAGATATTTTTATTTCTCTTGGGTGTATATCTAGGAGTAGAATTGCTAGGCCATATGATAGCTCCATGGTTCACCTTTTAGAGAACTGCCAGACTTTTCCAAAGCAGTGAAACATGCATTTTTTGCAGTAAAGCAAAAAATTTTATAAATATTGTGGATTTCCAACAAGTTCTACTTTTTATCCAGACCTTCTCCTAAGAGCTGATCTCTGCTGCCTGGAACCTCCAGGGTGGGCAGGTGGCCCATGGTGCCAAGGGCAGGTGTCAGGGAGGACCACAGGACAAGGAGAAGACACAGCGCAGGGGAGAGAGAAAGAAAGAAGAAATGGGTGACTAGGGAAGGAGTGTTAGAGGGTTAAGCTGCTTTTAGGGGCTGCCAACCCCTAAGCCGGAAGTGTATGAGTATGTTTGTAGTATAAGTCTTCTCAGTAACTCTCTCAGGTGCTTAAAAGGCAGGGGCTGGTGTTGAGGGGCCTGAACTCCATGTAGAGGGCGAAACGCTGTGGCGTCAGCTGCAGCCCGTTCTTGGGATTACTCATGTCCTGCCGTGAAGGGCCCATAGGAAAATGTCTCACTTCACATAAAGCAGGGCTTCTCCATGCGGACGCACCTGGGAATCACCCGGGAGCTTTTGAAAACTACCAGTGCCAGGGCCGCATGCCAGAGACTCTGATGGAACTGTCTGGGCTGGGGGCTGAGCGCTGGTCTGGTTTAAAGGCTCCCGGGGGACTTTCAATATGCAGCCAGGGTTGAAAACAACTTATGTGGAAATACAGTTTTTATGTTTTAACAAACATTCTTAAACTATTGGAGTGATCTTTGGATGCATCACAGAACTTTCTCAGAAGTGCTTGAGAGTCGCAATTATTGCTGCTCCTAAAGAGTGCTAGCACATGAGAGGGGTTGATTGAGGTCTTCATTGGCCACCGTACTGTTCTCTCTTAGCCAGAAGCCATTCTAATTCGAGATCAGGGGACGCATCTATGGGGACCTGTGCACAGCTCTGGAAGGGAAGAGTAATAGGTGGAGCTGAACCAGCGGAGCCTAAAATCCGCATGGCCTCGAGCCTAGAATGAGCTTTCCGATGTCATATTTGGGAGTGACCCCAGGGGAGGTACTCCTCATTCAGCTGTACGTTCACAAATACGTATGTATTGGGCACCTTCTGGGTGCTGGCTATCATCTGGAGCAGTATTGCAGGGTTAGACAAGTTCTCTGGGCTCGGTGACTTCTACTCTCCATGCGCCTCAGTGACCTTCATGCTACCACCCTAGTCCAAGTCACATCTTCTCCAGCCTGGATGTCTGCAGTTGGCTCCTAACTGGTCTCCATGCTTCTGCTCTTAGTCTCCTGTGGCCTGTTTGTCTCACAGCTGGAGAGATCGTACAAACAAAGCAAAAACAGATGCCACCATTCCCTGCTCAAAGCTCTCAAGTGGCTTCTCATCACATTCAGAATATAATGCAGGCTCCTCAGACCTCACCCCTGCCCACCTCTCCATGCTCAGCTCTCTACTCTCATCTTTCCAGACCTCTAGGCCAGGCGTCCTCAAACTGTGGCCCGTGGGCCACATGTGGGTGTTTTTGCCTGTTTGTTTTTTTACTTGAAAATAAGATATGTGCAGTGTGCATAGGAATTTGTTCATAGTTTTTTTAAAACTATAGTCCGTCCCTCACTGTCTGAGGGACAGTGAACTGGCCCCCTGCTTAAAAAGTTTCACGGCTCTTGCTCTAGGCCTTTTGCTTGTTTTTTCCTTAGGGCCTTTGCACTTGCTGTTCCCTGTGCTTGGAATGTTTTCCCCCAGATAGTCAGTTGGTGCTTTTTCCTGCTGTATCCACCTGTAAGACTACAAACCTCTCTAAAACAAGGGCCCTGCACTAGTAATCTGTGTCTGTCACAGCATCTGCTAAGGTCACTCGCATTTAGGAGGTACTCAGTAAGGCACTTGATGATGTGAATGGATAAAAAAGGAAAGAAAATCACACGCTGGGAAAAATCCCTGCCCAGAGTTCTCTGGAACAGGTAGCTCAAAAGAGCCAAGTCAGCATATCAAGTCTGATGTGGTTCTCTTGTTGCTCAGAGAGCTGCAAAGATTTTACGCTTGTGCAAGCAGATCCTCTAAAAGAAGTAATTTTCTCTTTAGGAGAGTAGCAGTACACAGGCTCAGCAGTAAAATTCACAGTATTTTATAAGAAGATGAAAAGTGGAAATCATATGAAAAGTAGTAATCACACACTAGCAGCACCAGTCTCTCGTGTGTTCATGGTATGGCGCCATGGTTTGACCATAATTTCTCTTCTTGCTCTGGCTCTGGCTCTCTCAGCTATGGAGAATGCTTAGTGGCAGGTCTACACAGCATGAGGCAGAACAGTGGTGGTAGAGACAGTTACATTTAGACACAGCACAGTTTTGTTTCCTATATTTCTTCTGTCTAAGTAATAGTAAGCTTTGCGTCCATAGAAATAATGGCCATCGTGTGGGAGCACAAAGACGTGGTGCATGGTGGCTTGAGTCCATGGGTCACAAACCTCACGCCTAGGTGGACGCTGGTGGGAGAGGTAGGCACAGTTTCAATCTGTTTTCTTCCATCTTTGCTTTTAAAGGGTTTTCTGAAGTGCTTTCACGCTATGAGGATTCATTCTCCTTACTGTTTTGGAGTCCCTCTTCATCACTCAGAAATTGTTTAAGATTGTTCTTGGTGTATTTTTTCCTTTTAAAAAGATCCTCTCACATGAATCTAAAAGCAATATATGTTAATTCTAGATAATTTGGAAATACCTAGAACAAAGAAAAAAGGGCCGTCCATATTTTACCACCTAGAGAAAAGTCTTAATAATTTCTATATTCTTATATGGGAATACTTTAAAATTTTGAAGGTTTTTTTATGATTATAAAAGCAATACATCTTCATTGTAGAAATTCTGAGAAATGCAGAAAACTGTAAAGCAGAAAGAGAAATAGCTCCTAATGCAGAATGACTTTTTTTTTGAGACAAGGTCTCGCTTTGTTGACTGGGCTAGAGTGCCGTGGCGTCAGCCTAGCTCACGGCAACCTCAAACTCCTGGGCACAAGTGATCCTCCTGCCTCAGCCTCCCGAGTAGCTGGGACTGCAGGCATGCGCCACCATGCCCAGCTAATGTTTTCTATTTTTAGTTGTCTGGTTAATTTCTTTCTATTTTTAGTAGAGACAGGGTCTCATTCTTGCTGAGGCTGGTCTCGAACTCTTGACCTCAAGCAATCCTCCCGCCTCAGCCTCCCAGAGTGCTAGGATTGCAGGCGTGAGCCACCGCGCCCAGCCTTTTTTTTTTTAAGAAAATTTAAAAAGTGAAATCAATGCCTGCCCTCCCTACCGGTCAGGAAAATTACCATGAGAATAAAATGAGGTGGTAAACATG